CACTTAACTCTCGTTCCTTCTTGCCTTTCGGTAACTTTACTAGGTCATAAGTTTGGTTTTTATGCAATGATTATTTTTCCTCTTACATAACTTTAACCCATACCCTTTTGTATTTGTCAGCCTGGGTTTCGTGGTAGCTTGTGGTCCACCCCCTTTAGTGTATAATATATACTTTGATGTTGGGTATCTTGTGGAAGGCTTATGTCCTCTAGAGGACCTTCTCGGTTGAACTGTATGTGATACTTCTTGAATAGGCTGCTCCCCCTACTCTACATCACCAAAAACTGACATGTCAAACTCGTGTTGCACTTCTCCCCCATCTCCATGTATCACGGTGGGAGGAACTATGACCAATTCTGAATCATTGAAGATTCATGATTTTTCTGGTTTCTTCACACGTTCAATGGTAAGATATTCTTGAAAGATTACATCTCTATTCCTGATCACCTTCTTGTTCTCATGGTAGGAGTGCTTTCTCATCCAACTTGGATCTTTGTTCTTTGGGCATATGCATTAATGCCTTACACCTGAACACTCTCAAGTGTGAATAAGAGATATTTTTTTCGATGTAAACTCTCTCAGGGATTTCACCATCTAGAGGGAATGATTGGGATTTATTTATTAGGTAGCATAATGTGATGATTGTTTCACCCCAATACGAATTGGCGGATAACAATCACCTAACTCTTTTCATAATAGTGCGGTTCATTATTTCTGACACACCATAATGTTGGGGTATATATGGTACTGTTTTCTCGTGCCTTATGCTACTCTTGAAACAATAGTTTTTAAAAGCATTCGAGGTGTACTCCCCCTATTATTTGATCTATATGACACTTCAAAAACTTGCATATCTCCCTTTCCACCTTAGCATGAAAATTCTGAAAGATCTCAAACACTTGATCTTTCGATTTCATTAAGTACCCCTACACCTTCCTTGAGGTATCATTGATGAAAGTATGATGCGCCACCAAACGACTTCATATCCATGAGACCACACACATCTGAATACGCAAAATCTCATGATTTTCATATATTTAAAGCTCTTCTTCGAGAATGAGACTCTATATTGTTTGCCTAGCAAACAATGGTCACATGTGGCTAGAGATGCATTCTTGACATTGGGAATAATTGGTTCTTTGCCAAGATTTGCATTTAGTTTTTACTCGTATGGCTGACACGCTTGTGCCACATGTATAGTGAGGGTTCTTTTATGGCAACTTTAACATCGTTATTGGAGATATTTACCTGCGTTTTATAGAGTGAACAACACTTCTTGCCCTTTGTTACAACAAGAGATCCCCTTGTTTGCTTCTAATGTCTCTTATAGAACACTGAGTGGTACCCTTCATTATCTAAACATCCTCATGAGATGAGGTTAAGATGGATATCTGGCACATGTCTAATCTCCTTTAGCTCCAGCTTTATCCCAATATTTGTCTTGATGGGTTCATCTGCCTTATCCATAGTCTTTGAGGAACCAATGTTTTCCATATTTATAATAAGCAAAATAATATCTATGTGGGGTAGCATGAAACGATGCACCGGTATCTACAACCCAGTCCGAGTTGCATGAACCTAATGCAATATCGATGCACCTGTCACCAAAGTTTCTGACAACACCAGCATATGTAGTCACTGCAGTAGTTTCCCTACCATTATTCATGGCATTATCCTCATTCCGCTCTTTTTTGAGCTTCCAACACTCTTTCTTAAAGTGCCATTCCTTGCCAACAATGAAAACATCTCAACCCTTTTCTCGTTTTCGATCTAGCTTTATCATTAGATTGGTTTGATCAATTTTGGTCCACATTCTCAGACCTTTCTCGATTTGTGATAAGAGCTTGCAAGTTTGATGAGCTGGAGGATCTTCTTCTCGTCTTCTCATTTAGCAGTCTGCTAGTGACCTGACTCATGGTCACTATACCATCAAGAGCTAACTTATTCACGGAGACTACTAAGGTCTTCCAACTATTCGGTAGTAAGCTGAGTACAAATAAAGCTTGCGGCTCATCTTCCAGAAACAACTTCATCATTGTGAGTTGGTTAACAATACTTTGCAGTTCTAATACCATCGACAAAAATTACCATATCGAGGACTAGTGACCACAAATATTGAGTAAGATTAGGAAATACCCTCCTGAGAGATTTGCGTGACAAAACTCTAGCTTAATTAATGAGAAGAGTAATACTATGTCATGAAGCTCCCTCATTGTTTTACTGAAACAAAATTTAGAGAGAGAGAGAGTAACATTGTGATGTGAAACTAACCCAAACTTGTTTTCATACTGAGAAAAAGAACCAAAGAAATGAGAAACATAAGAAAGAAACAAGGAACGCTAGGAAAAATTAAATTAACACAAACTTAAAGACAATCTCACTTTGTATGAGAAATCATTTCATCACTTAAACCAATACCATGAAAGAAAACAATGGCCTTACATGTAGTATAAAATTTGCAGGTTTTACTTTGATTTCTAGGCCACTTATGTTTGGTTGGGAATGCCTTACATAGTGAATATGTCTTTGCTCATGGGTGCTATTCTTTCATGGGGGATCATGTGGCCTCTCATTCAGAAGAGGAAGGGAGACTGGTACAGTGGGGATCTTCCATAAAGCAGTCTCCATGCACTTCAAGGATATATAGGGTACCACCTCTTTTGCTTTTTCAATCTTTATCAAAGTTGTTTGATTTAAATATATATGTAACAGACAAGAGATAATAAGCAAAAAGCGATGAGCAATAACATATCGGAAAGTTGTACTTCCTTATCTCTTATCTGTTGTTCATTATCTCTTGTTGCTTCTTATCTCGTCTCTTACAGTATAGTTGTTTTGCATTGGAAAAAGATCAGGAGGCGGTCTAGCCCGATCAGTACAGGAAAACTAGCGGGTCAAACTTCGGTCGTTAAGTTTTTTTTTTTTTTTTGGGTAATTATGTGGGGATTACAGGCTCTACCGGTTTTTTAAGTGGTTAGGTTTTCAAAACTGGCAGTGGGATTTGAGAGTACCATATTTAAATCTGCGCTTCTTTACAAAAAAAAAAAAAAAAAAAAAAAAAGAAGGAAAAAAATGCTTTTTTCACAAGAAAGTTTTAATTGCTGTATATTAAACTTAAAAAAAAACGGTTCAAAAAAACTTCCATCTGTACCTCAAAATTTGACTTCTTTTGAAAATTAACTTTTTCCCATTTTATGAAATACTTCTGATTTTTATTTTTTTTTGGGTAGGTGTGAAACTTCTAATTTTATCCCTTAAAAGAGTGAAAGTTGTACAACTATTTCCTGTTTTATAAAATTTTTATTTTTATCTCTTCTAAAAATTGTGTTGCTTTTAAAAAATTTACGTTCTCTACAAAACCAAAAGTTAGCATCCTGGACCCCTCTCCCTTCTCCTTGACCAAGCAACCAAAAATGTCAAGGCCGTTTTTGAGAGAGAAATAGGAGTGCGGCCGAGCCACGCTTTTTAGATAGAGAAATATGGCTTTAAATGGAGAGAGACGCGTATTTCAAAGTGTCCTATTTTTCGGGTGAGATGTTGCCATTTCAAATGGACAGGCAAGTCATAGTATTTGAGCTCCTCTACTTTTCTCGCATACTTCCCATGTACTCCTTCGGTCAAAACCCTAGGTTATATTTTTCGGCCTAAAACATTGAGAACTTTCTAATAATTATTAGACGATTAATTTTAAAGAAAATTTTAAATCTTTGTTTTTATTTTACAAATTGTTTTATTTTTTAGAAAATTTAATTTTTTTTAAATTTTAAACATATCCGATTTTTTCACTCTGATTTTTTAGGTTAATCCGATATATTTGTGATATATTTATGTACATTATGTTTGCCGATCTGTATTTTTCTCCCGGTCTTTTGCATCCGAGTTTTTAGACCAAGACCGTTTTAATTATGATTTTATAATGGGCCAATTTTTTGTTATTCCCTGACTTGCTAACTGTGGTGTTACCACCGCGACCCCAACTCATTTTTGGAAGTCGTCGTGTTTGGGTTCTCGTAGAACCATTGCTTTCCAAATCATGGAACATAGGTAAACCTTCTGCTTACAAAATAAACAGTGCAAAATTTGGATAATTCCTTAAACATTTATGCAAAACTTCAAATGGGAGAAAAATGATAAGAATTTGTGTTGAGCGCATACACTATGCTCCCTTGGGAGCACACGGGCAAAACACTTACTAGGGAGGATTTTTTTAAAAAAAAATTAAATATGTAGATCAATCCCTCAAAAAATTGGGTAGTTCCAACGCAATATTCGGATCGAATTTTTAAGTGCATGGAGAGTGAGAGTTAATTTTTTTTGTTTTTTTTGAGGTTGGTTGTCAGGTTCTAGAGATCACATATCCAAAATTAGAGATCTAAAAGATGATCCCCGCGTATGTTTTGGCTGAGTGAGTAGATGGGTAGTATACACCCGTAGGTGTAAGAAATCATTTGGCATGGCATTTACGATATTTTGAGATGTTGCAACTTAAAATCCTTGAAAGAAATTTGATGCCACCTCCTGCAACTCTTATATTTTTACTTTAAATCATGAAATTTGAAGTCCAAATTTCATCATTGACGTTTGGAAATTAATTTTAGAACGATCGTGAAGATTAAAAAGCTTTCTGGATGAGGATTTGAAAGGAGGTTTTACTTTGTTTTCCTAAAGCCTAGGCCTTGTAATTACTTATAAAGCTGCAGCCGTAGAAAGTAATTTCCCTTCTTTACGTGCTCAAATTCTAGCTAAAAGAAAATCACTAAACCTGGGCTTTGAGAATTTGGGATAGATAACCAAAAGGAGAGAGAGATGCCATTAGACCACAACTCACGACAAGAACATCCATAAAGCTTAACAATCCAGAACCCCACTCTCAGAAAACCTAAATTCAAACCTTAACAACAAGACTCCCACTTTTTATTCACCACAAAGGCTAGTACACAAGCCTTAATTTCTCAATTATTCCTTAAAACACCACATACCAAACCATGAAGAGAGAGCGATCAGCATTGCTCGGTACACATGCAGATGAGCCAGATGCCTTCGCAATGGCCATCCTCGAAGCCCTCCGTCTTGCCGACATTGGCGCAATTGCTTCGGATGATGCACGGCCCCTGGAACTCAATGCTCGGTGACTCGCAAATTCTCCCCTCCACCACCCTCCCCATCTCTGCATATACACACTCATTTTCTCTTTCTTCCTTAGGCCTCTTATAAATGTTTTCCTTAGGTCTGATGGTGCATGCCACCTCCTGCAACTTCATAAATGTCCTAATGTACATGTATCTTTCTTCCTTAATTCTAATGTACATATTCTTCCCCAAAAATCCAAAGTACATATTTATGAATGTCTTGAAATCCTTGTTAGAATATGCACATTAGAATAGGTATCCTTTTATGAGACCATATTATCACCATTCTTATATAGACACATATATGTGTGTGCTAGTGTTATCAGAAATACCAATCTTAATATTAATTTTTTGGATACGACACACTTAAACACCATTTAAAGAGGCATGTAGGGTTTTAGGTGATATTAACACAGATTTCAAGAATAATGGTTACTTATTATGTTATCGATACAAGCAAAACTCATGGACACATACATCCATCCATGTTACTAATGCTACCATACTATCAATGATTGGTGTGTGTGTTTATGAGAGAGAGAGACCAGGGAATCATATGGTTTTGCAAAACATCTGCCATCTTTGAAACAATGGGACCCTATTTTTGAATCATCAGTGGATATGAGTAGGAAAAAAATAAAAAAACTAGAATTGAAGTGAAGGATAGAGAGAGGTGAACCTGACGAAACAAGGAGCAGAGAAAGCAAGAAAAGAACACAGAGGACTGGCTTTCGAATTGCCATTGAAGCACAGGATGAAGCTCCCCAGATCTCTGATTGAACACTGGAGGAGGAGAAAGTTTATATAGAAAAAGTGGTGGGGTTCTTTTACAACGGTAAATTCCATGAAAAGAAAGTTGTTTTGATGGATTCAATGGTAAAAAAAAAAATCTGAAAGGTATAAAGGGAGGCCACCTGTTTTAGCTTATAGGATTGCCTTTTCCTTTGGTATAATTCAGTACTTTCTAGAACCTGCCGGTCTAAATTTGAAAAAGAAAAAGTTTATATTAGGTTGCAACCTTAAAATGTAGAATTGAGGTGTACTTTAAAATTCATCATAAATGGTTGTTTTGATATAAGAAAAGAAAAATTGTTTCATGCGGGCTGGACTAACATTTGTTTCTACAATATGTGATCCAGATGTATAAAGCATCCATTTTAAAGATGGATGCAAATAGGTGGTCCATCTAAAATCAAGTGTAACTAACGGTTCAAATGTTTTCTTAATATAATTATTGTTTCTAGTTTTCAGTTTTGTATTTAGTTTTCATATTCATGATCTCCACATTAAAGATTATATATTCTCTAAAAATTAGGATCAAATTATCTCTAAAAAATATATTTATTGCCAAGCCCTCATTTCTAATATATACGGGTTAGCCGCATAGAAACCATGTTCATTTGAAAAACATCTAATTGTCAACTCGACATTGAGATGTATGACTATGAAAATAGAATTAGATTTTGAGTCTAAAAATAATGTATATTACAACATATTATCTGGATCGTCTATTTTCAAGAATTTCATGTGTTTAAACATCTATTTGATTTGAACTATTTTTTGAGTTTAAAATTTTATAATCAGTGATGAAATAGAATATTGAGCCATCCTAAAAATATTTTTTAACACCAAAATTACATTTATGATAAAATTTAAATGTCCACCTTAATTTGATTGTTTAAGGTTGCAACCTTATGCAAACCACACCCATTCTAAAAGCATGTAAAAGCATGCACCACATATATATGTACATCATTTATTACATACATTTACATAAATAAAATACATGTGATGATGGCCATTGTAGATTAAAAATATGATAGATGATTTTTTAAGGCTATCGACACATAGTGTGGCATAGGCTGGACAACCAAGATTGAAGGAGAAAAAGATTAATTACTTAGAAATGCGTGTTAATAGATAAGGGTTTTAAGAAAGGAAAACAATTATATTAGGTTGCAACCTTAAATTGTAGAATTATGGTGCATCTTAATAATTCATCGGACAAAAGTTGTTTTAATGTTGGAAAATCCCCTAATTAATCATTTCGACATAGAGATATATGGAAAAAAAATTAAAAAATTATGAGTCAAAAAATTATTGCATCTTGTATGACATTATCTAGACTGCCCATTTTCAATATTTTCATTTGTATATAGAGATCTACTTGTTTTGAACCTTTTTTGGAACTTAAATTTTTATAATTAGCAATGGAAATAGATTCTCAAGCCATCTTAAGAACTTTTTACACCAAAATTAATAATTGCATCTTATTTTAATTGTACAAGATGTCAACCTTCAACAATCAAAGGCATGTCTGTAAATCCTGCTAAAAGAGGTGGTTTTGGTGCCAAAAACTTTTACATTGGCCTACAAAAATTATTTTTTAACTCCTAATTGTGAATTTAAAGCGTTAAAACGGTATAGATCGAGCAGCTCTATAAACACTTAATTTTTTGAAAATAGATTGTCTAGATGGTGTTTTACAAGTGCACCAATTTTAGGATCTAGAATCCTGTTTGTTTCTTCACATCCATGTATCTTAAAACTGAGATGAGATGATCAATTGTAGGGTTTTTCGACATCGAAACAACCTTTCTTGTAGATTTTTAAGGTGCAACTTACTTCTACATTATAGAGTTGCTACTTATACAAACTTCTCGTACCACACAGTACATACATCAATAAAGTGTACGATATTTGTATGTTCAATGGTGAAATATGCATCAATAATATTCATACAAATGTTGCATGGTACATAAACTTATATTGGTGCAAGATTTCAAATTTTTAATTAGGAGTTTGATGGTGGTATAAGGCACAAATAATATAAATACTAGATGTAAACTCTACCACCTGTGCTCCAAACGGATAATAGAGATGCACCACTTTTATGCTGGATTTAAGAAATACTTGAGCATGAGCACCCATTTTCAAAAATTTCAAAATGCTTATGGATTTACTCGATCTACGTTATTTTTTTGAACTTCAAATTTTGCAATTAATGGTAAAAATAGTTCTTCAGGCTATTCGAGAGGTTTCTAATACCCAACTGTATCTTTTGACACCCAAAACTGCATCTTTCAGTATTACTGCCTTATTTTAATTATTTAAGATAGACACCTTATATAAACCGCATTTACTGAAGCTTTATTTAGGTTCTATTTTAAAGGGCAAGCTTTCTATATTTCTCCTACTACATGAAATTTATTTACTTCCTCCTATCCAATCACAATGTCACGTCTCTATACTATGTTGTTATTATTTTTTCTATAAACTATTTTGGCACTAAGTTTTGAGCATCCATTTCTCTCTTAAACTTGCATTTGTAAAAAATATAAAAACAATACTCCGAATAAAATAAAACAACCAAAATGCCGCTGAAAATTTCAAGGGTATTTTGGTTATTGTATTTTATCGGATTGCTTCTTTTTTTTTGTTAATGTTTTTTCAGGCACGCCCCATTGAGATGATGATATGTACCAAATTTCATATTTATATAATAACTAGAAAAGATTAAAAATAAAATATGCTGAGGCGTCCGATCTAGATCAAACTGTCAGTGGCTCACTTGATCTAAATTGTACAGCTGGATGTAGGGAGAAGTATATATTTTCTATGCAGTGGGGGAAGTATAGAAACGTTTCCCTATTTTCAAATCCCGGGAGAATCTTGAAACCGCAAGTGTCGGAAAAGCATTTACTTTCGTATAAAAGTGGATAGAGCCATGTACATGTTTTTTTCGGATTGGTGAAAGAGCTATCTATTTTTATCAAAGAAAACCACCTGAATCACCATCTTTTTTTATTTATTTATTGGTGATGGAGCTGAAAGAAAGATCTATGTAATTTTTTGCCGGAGAAATACAATTTTTTTTTTTAAATAATAATCACCCCTTATAATTTTCGCAACAAGATCACTCACAGATGGTCTTTTTACAAGCAATAGAAATTCCAAAAATTAAATAACACATCAATAAAATAACTCTCAACTACTTGATGCCATTCATACAACCTAATACTGTGCTTGAGAATATAAAATAAAAGAACAAATAATTAAAAGAAAAGATGCTAGAGATTACCTCAACCAGGCTTTTTATACCCCACACGGAGTCACCACATCGGTCCAGCTTCAATCTTGAATCGGGAAAGCTAATTTCGGCCAAACTAGATTACCACCCTTAAATCTCTACAAAACCCTTAACTCCAAAATAATTAGGCTAAAACCCTAATTTTTTCCAACCCTTAGATTAGATCATGAGAGAGAGAGAGACTCTCTATGTTGGGGCATGCCGCCTAGGGTCATTTTTAGGGGAGAGAAAGAGTAGAGAGAGAAACTAAGAGAGTAGAGAGAGAGGGGAGTGGGCCCTAGGGAAGAGAGAGAGAGTTTATGCGAGAAAGAGAGGTGTAATGAGATGGGGGAAAGCACCTATTTTTATAGTAAAATTTAGGTATAGGGTTTTTTTAGGGTTTCCCAAAGTTTGTCTCTTTCTTGAGATTGAATATGCATCGTTGATCAATGTGACTTGTGGGGTGACAGATTTGAGTCATCCATTTCACAGATGAGCTATCAACATTATAGAAGGTGCATAAACCATTATCCCTTTTTCCTTAAACCATTTTCCCATCAATACATTTAAATACCATTAAAGATATAATGCATACCATAAATTGCATATTCCATCTCATATTTTCCATAAGAATATTTCAATAATATCAAGTCAAGATATTATTTCAATAATCAAGATAAGATATGGTCAATATTTCCTAATCAATATTTGACCAGATGCTACAAGATGTAGTTACCATATTTAACAAACTTGAAGACAAAGCAACAAGATAAGGTATCCAAGGGTGGAGCATGCTACCCATGGATGGTATCTAGGGCCCCACCTAATACCCACATGGTGGGCCCATGTGCACTATAGGCCCCATGTCTATATTTTTTTTAAGAAATATTTTAAAATTTAAACAAAGTGAATTTTAAAACATTATAACTTTGTAAATTAATAACTTCATTTTTATAAGTCCAAAAATAAGAAATAAAATATCAAATGACTTACAAAAATTCAAATAATAAATCTAAAGTAATTTAATAATAAAATCAACATAATTAAATTAATATGATGGGAAGTGGATCCATATGGTTCAGGAATTCAATCAACGATCACAGGGTACTCCACCTTCAATTTTGGACTACAGACTACACTTGCTTTATCGAACCGACCTAGTGTTTCCCATGACCCACAGTCCAAGTAGGAGCTCATTAGTGGGTCACCAAAGTCTGATCGATGAGCCAAGGAGTTGCAATCCCAGTCTGTGGATTACAGGTCCTCCCCTAGAGACAAGTTAAGGTCACCACGACCTGATGCGACCATAGCTCTATGATGCATAGGGGTATCTCTTGCACATGCATATGCTTCACCCAAAGGTGGATATCTAGCTTTTTCGAACGATCTATCTATATGCATGTCGTGTGATGGAACATGGATGAGGTTTTGGCCGCCATCTCTATAGGCCGACCATCACACACAAGGGTTACACTGTCCCTCGGCTCACTCATCTAGGCATAAACTCCGACCTCATCAAGGGCTAACCCAAAAACCCTTTTCCGTTTATTTTTTATGCCCAGGTACCTTAGGTTTTCCAACCGACTGGCCTAGATCGCCAAGCACAATCCGTTATACGCAAATAACATTTGCTTAATATGGTATTCGAGGGACCACACTCCTACTGAATTTATATTCCACTCTATTAAATGTTTTTCATTACACACTCATAAGGTCTTTAAAGGCCACATAAACCCAACAAGAGCTATCTATTTTTATCAAAGAAAACCACCTGAATCACCATTTTAAGATCATGGAAAGTAGTGCAAAGTCAAATATAGATGATCACCACTTACATTTCATTTATAAATAGCAGCATTGCTTTCTTTTAGCTCTATTTTTATCCAAGAAAACCACCTGAGTCACCATTTTCAGATCATAGAAAGTAGTGTGAAATCAAATATAGAAGGTCACCACTTACATTTCATTTGTAAATAGGAGCATTGATTTCTTTATTTTTGGCACAAAACAATATGGCCGACCAACCGTCTCAACAACTAGGATTCCGCTCTCACCTTACCAGGAATGACAGGGGTCCAAAGTGTAAAACGACCATGTATATTCTGCTCTCGCAGGCCTATACTATATATCTACTCTATTGGGTAGAAATCTTACTTGGGTGGATTTTGTTGATTTGAAAATTTGGGAACCAGCTAAAAATTACTAAATGATTTTTTTTAAAAGAGAAATTGAATTTTAATATTCTAACACTTAGATCTCACCCTCAAAAATTGAAAGGTCTTTGTTCAATCTTGAGACATTATTATTTTTCACATGCAGCATGTGTAATTTAGAAAATCAATTGAGGTTAGTCTATGGGATAGAAATGTTACATCCGCACAATTTGGGAACCTACAATTACTCATAGAGTGCGTTTTACCAGAGGGAATAAATGGACAATATGCTCTTGGGAGCATAAAAACTTTTGGCAAAAGTAGACCGTATGCTTGCCAAGAATAAAATGTCAATTTTACTCCCTTTGATAAAACCCTACCCAGATACATAGATTAACCTCAATTTAAAAACGAAATACTAATGATGCCAATACTTGAAAAAAAATAATATATTGAGATTGAATAGATACTGTTTAATTTTTAAATAAT